GCAATCGCTGGCTTCAACGTGGCTCCGCCACTGGTGATAATCAAACTTCCCTAGAGATGTTTCACTCAAACTCTCTCTAGAGATCTCTCAAAATACAAAGCTCAAAGCTTTGCTCACAAATCTCTCAAATATTTTTTCTCTCTAATTCTAATCTAGCCTCTACTCACAACTAATGAATATATAGAAGAGGTGAGATCTAAGGTTTAGGGATTTTAAGAAACCCCTCAATGGACTTGGGCTTAGCATTGAAGGATGAAGCCCAACAAAAGATAGGGTCGGATAAAGCACCAAATCATAGGAACTGTATGAATTTGAGATAGGTGTTTAAAAGTCTAAAGAAATTCAGGCAAACTGGAAGAATGAGATACTAGAAGTTTGTTCATATGATTTACTAAGAAATATGATAGCTGGTGATTTAAGAGGAAGTTTATGGTGATTATGGCAACATAAAACACATTCGTTGAAGGGTTGAACTTGTTGATTACCATTTTTTTAACAAATCTTTTGCCTTGCTTTAAAATTCTTTTAGTTGACAAATTAAATTAGTTAGGAATTTATAGTAATGATACTACTTAAAATTGAACGAAAATATTTGTTTTCTCTAGTTTGTTGTCCAAACCAACAATTGACCCACACAAAACGGAAGCTGAGAATTTAGGTCTTGTTGACTTATATTTATGAATAAATAAATTGTTATATTTCTTAATAGCAAATCCTAATAGTGTCATATTTATTTAGCTTTTGAAATATATTCAGATTCGCCATTTAGGAATGAGAAAACTAATATGCCAAAAGGTTTAAGGTGGTCACGAAGTATACTTAATTATTTGTTCTCTAATTTGATATTTATTTAGCTTAGCGAGTTCCAATTAATATATTGCATACACGTTTATTAAAAGAAGAAAAAGGTTACAATAACATAATATGACTTGAATTTTTTTGGTTGGGACATATTCTAAATTTCATAACTAGAGTTTTTTTTTTTTTTTTTAGTGTACTGTATAATAGACTTTTCTTTCTTTTTTGGAAAAAAAAAATAAACATAGAAGTTTAGAGGAAAGGAGAAGTTGTCACGTTATGATATTTTTTTTTTTTTTTTGTGAAAACTGATCATAATTATTTCTTTGAGAGGAATCAGAACTCCCGATATCTCTACAGGTTCGACTTTTTGAGCCGCCTATAGGACTAATTCAGAGTTCGAGTGCGAGTCCAAGAATTACGGTACTTATGCCCCTCCCCAGATGGTGTTGGTGGGATTCGAACCGAGATCCACTCCCACCACTCAGTGCTCATGCTACCAACTGAGCCACCACACTTAGGTCACGACGTTATGACATTTAGAATATATATATGTTGTGATAGATTAGAATACGTATACATGACTTTACAATAAAGATCCACCATTTAATACTATACCAATTTATTCAACTCTGATTAGCGCAATAAACTTGGGCTTGAGATGGAGAGAATGTCAACCTCATCGCACATTTATTAATTTTGAAACTTTTTCATTCGTATTCTTTAGTAAATCTTAATTTCTTACCATATTTTCTTTTATATTTTCCCTGTTTTCTCATTCCTAAGAAACCATGTGATTGATGAATAAGTTTATGGAGATTTATATTCAAAATTAAATTAAGAAAATTCCCTAGTACAAAACTAAATATAATATATATCTTCTATTTATCTATATAATTAACAGGATTAATTCCTCATGTTTGCAATTTTGTTCAATTTTTTTTTTGTTCTAAAGCTTTGTAATTATAATGAACTCTTCTTATTGCTTATTTTTACTTCATGACTAAAAATAAAAAATGCAGTACATGCCCGTCAATACGCTAATTAAACAAATGTTTCTTTCACTCAAAAAATTTAAAAAAAAAAAAAAGAGCGTACGTTTCTAACTGTGTTGACTCAAATTGTAAATATTTTTCAATTGTATAGTGAATTTTACACGATAACTTTAAAAATGACATAAAATCAGTATAAAGAAACTCATTTTGATGAAAATATGTAAAAAAATAAAAATAAAAATACACCCACACATATATAACATATATAGCGTAACTTAAAAAACTAACTTATATAATAATGAAATTAAAAAGTAAACTTGTTTCCATCTCTTTTTTCTCTTGTCTCCCTACTCTTTGTTTTCCTCTTATTTAAACGTTCATCTTCCTTCTTCTTTTTTATTTCTTCTTTTTTTTTTTTTAGTATTCTAATGATGGAAGGTGGGAGTGGTTTTTTCTAACTTTTGAAGATAAAGTATTGCTGACAGGCTGCTAAATTCTTCCATGTTCAAATTTCAAATCCATACATTCAAAAGAAACAAAGACTATGTCATGTTGTTGTACATCATAACGTAACTTTTGAAATAAACTCTATTTTTGTTTAGATTTCAAAAATTACACTATATATTATTTATAGTACATAATATATTGTAGATAATTTTTCTGCACTAACTGCAGAAAAGTTAAACCTATATATATATAAAATAAAAGGCAAAATTTAGACCAGCAAAATATCCGGGTTCCAATTATTTGCATTCCCATCTCCATAATTTCTTACACACCCTCTCTTATCTAAATTTCGATTGTTTATTGGATAGGGTATAACACTACACCACTATTGTGGTAAGGGAGTAATTCAGCACCGCCATTATAGTAGGTTGGCAACGCGTTGCAAACTCGTAGACAGATAACATGTTCTCGTGCGTGTTATTGTACAAATTTCGTGTCATCTACTTCCAAAATCTAAAGTCCTCAATCAGTTTAACAAAAAGCTTTGTTCTATTTTTTTATGGGTTCTTTCCAATACTCACCAACAAAGACCGCATAAGGCGTGTGAGTATATATTGGGGGAAAACAAAGGCATCTCTAACTAACTAATCATTAGTATAAAAAAATTTATTCGTTTCTCTGGCAGATAGTGTATATATCTACCCTGAAGGCATTTAACAATATTTTAGACTCAGTATAATAATAATCTCAACAACTTTTCAGATGCAGAAGCATTGCTTTCTGGTGCCTGCCTTCTTAAAACCTGTTGACTTCACTGCTGTCTCTGAATATGGGCTTTTTATGTAACGACCTCTGGCTACAGCTTCCTAGCTTTAAGGTTTTTCTTTATAATATTTTTGTCAATACTTTATGTGGTTTTAATTGGATGAATCTGAATCTTCAGTGGGAACCCCTTATGGTTTCAGAGTAGTAGCTAGTAATTAATCTTTTTTAAGAGTGATAAAAGGGAGCCCAAATTGGAGAGATTATCATCGCCGTATCAATGAGCCTGAGCAGTAACCCAAAATAAGGGATGTCTAATACCACGTCTCATCCAAAAAATCAAGGTATTTGATTTATAAGTCATTTTCACTTATATGTATCATACTTAGCTTATTTCTTCTTATGCGAGATTTTTTTTATCAATCACACTTGAATTTTCAACAGATATAAATACAAATATATTCAATATGAACACTACTTACTTATTTTACGAGTCTAACATGACATAACACAAATAACAATTAATATCAAAGTGTGTCACTTATTTTACTATACATGTCGACATAACACGAATAACTTGAAACAGAATTAACGCATGTGAGTGTCGTATTTGCTGGTTAGCACGCAATAGCATACAAATTTTTCCAAGTTAAATTTTACCAACACCAATGCGACACATTTAAAAATCAGTCAACTCAAACACAAATTTCTAGTGTTGTATTCATATCATATGAAGGACTCGTTTTCGAAATAGCTAGCCCTTTTTGATTTAAGGGTAAATTTGTAGTATCTTGAAACTTGAGAATAACAAATTTGTATAGTAGTTTTTTTATGATAGTAGCTTTTATTAATTATTTTTTGGGAAAAAAGACTATCATTGACACAGATCGTGTCATTTTAGATAATTTACACAGAGTATGACCAGTGTAAATCTGAAAAGCTTTTTTTTTTCTCTCCTCAGTCACATCACTGACGTGTAAAGTGACAAAAATACAACTTTTCAGAATTACACAAAGTATGACCGGTCATATTCTGTGTAAGTCACTAAAAGGACACAAGTTGTGTCCTTTTGAATGACACATACTAAACCCTATTTTTTTTTTTTAAAAAAAAAAAAAACTTGTCAATTGTTTACCTTTTTGTTTTTAGTGAAATGAATTGTTTACCTTTACTTTTAAGTTTTAATAGATACAAAACATACTTGAAAAGGAAAGAAAAAAAGAGTAAATCTATTGGATCGACAAGTATAATGAAGAATCTTTGTGATAGTTGTATTGGTCTAATGGGACATTCTCAGGCCGTGAGTGAGAGTAAGTAGACTCCACGGCAACATCATACCAGCATCTCGGTAGAAAATATGTGATGTTTCTGTCTGTACTTTGCTCAAAGCGCATGTTACCTTATCTCTAATAACTGTAGATGATATAACAGGTGAGTATGCTGAGACAATGTGTTGTGTCATGCAACTCAACCCCATTCGGGGGCCAATCAATCAATGTCTGGAGACTATTGGCATCTACTTTGTTCATCCGGTGAAGGGTACCATGTAGCAACCATGTCAACTTCCGTTTTTTCACTTAGTAAAATGAGGCCCTTCGGAGCTAGCACATTTTATGCAACGGCAGTAGATATTCTCTCGGCGAAAAAGGAGAAAAAAGATATGGGAGAAAATAAGTATAAATATTTTATCTTTTTTATATTTGGTAAAAGATGTTCCGAGTATTGGGTATTCCGCCCTGAAGATATTATCCATGAAAACAAATCTCTCAGCCATTCTATTAATACTCTTTTGTTATAAAAGTTGTACCAAGATTTTCATAATTCTCAATAGTGAATTGAAACATAAGAATGAAAACAAAAGAAAGAGGGAATGCACACATTGACCAATCACTGTTCTCTGATTAATCTTTTTATTTATGAATTTATGACTACTAATACTAAATTACAGCACTAATAGGGATCACGCATGATGTATACATATAATTAAGGGGAGATTTTTATTACTAATTTACTATTATTATTATTCATATGCATGCTCGTCTGTTTCTGAGATATAGCATTAACAAGCGTAGAATTCGACGAGTTCATCCAGCGACTCTGGTTGTGGATCAGCATTCTCGAGCATCCAAAGCAGGTGCTCGAACAGCACAACCTCGCATGCCACGTTGATGGTGTCCACGTCATCCTCGTTCTCCTCGGACCTGTCCACCAGTTCCCGGAATAGCGGGTTTCCGACAACCTCGGAGCTCACGAGGTAGCGCCGCCTTGTCTTTCCGACGTACACAGGGCGGAGCTCCGGTCCCGAATCGGAGGAGGACTCGTCATTCGCGACGGCGCTGATGCTGGCGCGGCTCTGCTTGTTGTTGTTGTTGCTGAATGAGTTCCATTTCTTGAGGACTGACTTGAGCTTTGTTAGTTTTCCACCTTTGGCCATGTTGGGTGGCTTCTGAGCTTGAAGGACCAAAGAGGCTTAGGATATGGCTATGTGAGAAAGTTAAGGGAAGGTTCGTTTAGTATTAAAGGGGAGGGGCAGGGGTGAAATTGTCAAAACACATTTAATTAAGAAAAAGAAAGTGGCCAAAACAAAAGCTGTGCCCTTTTGGTGTTTGGATTTTGCTTCGTGTGAATTGTGAGCCGTTGTTTGCACCCTCTTCTTTGTCTACTTCTCAATACTTTTTTTTTAGGTGTCTTTCGGCCTGGCTAGGAAGTTCTTTTCTTTAATAAATTGTATGACAATTTTTTATGTACTAGAATAGGAATTTGAAGGCGAAACCAAATTTTACAAGAAGTAACACCAATTGTGAAGATATAATTGATAACCTTTTTTATCCAGATAATTTCTTTTAAAATTTCAAATATAAAATGAGTTCCTCTATTTTATCTTCTTCTTTTTTTGGTAAACTCCTCTATTTTATCTTCTTCTTCTTTTTTGGGTAAACGTCTATTTTATCTTTAATGTGTCGTTTGAATGATGAAATTAGATTTAGAAGTAATTTTTTGTATTATAGTTATCTTGTTTGGTGTATAAATTAAAATGACATATGTCAATTCTAAATGCAAGTCAGTGCAATCAATTTTTATTTGAAATTATAAAAATTATAATTTTTTTTTGGTACATAAAAATTATAATTTCAACTATATAAGACAAAAGCTAAAATTTTGTATTTTATTATTGGCTATTCATATTGTTTACATACTTCAGAAATCACACCTTATCAATCATTATCACCAACAACCATTGTCGCGGACACTGCTACGGTTAGCGTTTTCCATCTCCAGTACCTATCGACTACCATTCATCATGGTTGGAACCTGGAATCTTCCAATTACTTCACCACTGGCATCCATCAATAGAAATCAAATTATTTATTTATCTTACATGCATATAAAAATTTTAATTTTAATTTTTTTGGTACAAAAACTAGCATTTTAATTAAAATTTTATAATTCAAACGGAGCCTAATATTTATTTCTAATTTTTTAAAAATATTTGACTTAATTTTAACGAAAAATACAAAAAAATTCATCTTATTAACTTGAATAATTAACGCACGTTACTTTTAATGAGCTTTTTCAAAATAAAAAATAAAAAATTACACACTTTACAAAATTTAAGTCGACTTTTGTTCACTTTTGAAATTCAAAATCATGAAGATTAGCTCTCCATTTTATAATTTAAGAAAGTAAACATATTTTAATTATACCCATGCATGCATATCTCTTCTAATTTGTTGTAAAGAGAAAAATTACTTGCACCAACCAATTAAGTAGGATGCGCATCACAACCTTCCCAGAATCAATTCTTTTTTAATTTTTATTCTCGAGAGTAGAATTTGATAGAAAACTTGTTTGATAAAATCGGTTTATTTTTTTGTTCCCGGGATGAACCGGTTTAATTTTTGTACTGGGGAATAGAAAAAAAAATTAAAAAAATTCTGTTTTTTTGTTCCCGGGCACAAAATGAGAAAGACTTATCTCTCTCAATTACTCTCTACCGCTACCATCATCACCACCGCCCCCACCATCCTAACATGACCACCGCCACCATCGTCGTACCACCACCACCACCGTCACCACCATTATTACTACCACCATCACCAACCACCACCACCGTCATCATCGTAGTCACTGCCATCACTACCACCACCATCATTTTAGCCACTGTCATCACTATCACCATCACCACCACGCCATCGCTACTACTGCCATCGCCGCCGCCGCCACCACCACCACCATGTCATCATCATGGTCGCAGCCACTGCTGTCACCACCACCGTCACTACCATTATCATGCCACTGCCACCACTACACCACCCCCACCGCCACCATCATGTCATTATCATCACCATCGTCGCATCCACTGTTGTCATCACCACCACCACTACAGTCGTCGCCGCCACAACTATGCCACCATTACCACCATTGCCGCTGCCACCACTACCATTATCACGTCATTGTCATCGCCACCACCATGTCATCACCATCACCACCACTACTGTCACCACCATCGCCACCATTGTCACCACCATCGATGCGACCACTATTGTCACCACCACCATCACCATCACCAATACCACCATTACTGTCACCACCATTATCATCACCATCACCATCACCATCGCCGCAACCACTACCGTCACCACCACCACCATGCCACCATTACCAACACCACCATCGTCATCATTACCACCACCGTCGCCGCCACCACTACCACCACTGCTACCATGCCATCACCACCATCAACACTATTGCCACTGTCGTCGCCACCACCATTACTACCACCATCGCTGCAGCACCACCACCATTATGCCATCACCATCACCGCCACCGCCACCACGATGCCACTACTAGACCACCGTCGCCGCCGCCGCTGCCACCACCACCACAACATATGAAAAGGAAAGTGATGATCCAAAAAAAAATTATGCTTAATAGGAATATCTTTGATTCTATTATTTGTTGTGTTATCAAACGCCATTCTCATTCTCGGAATAAAAATAAAACATGTTATCAAACACATTTTTTTCTCAAAAACTGTTCCAAGGCACAGAAATAGAAAAGAATTGTTTCTTTTTCAGAAATAGTGCCAGGGAAGAGAATGGTCATCATGCACACCCGTACAGAACCTCCGAAAACACGTTTTCTCAAACTTAAGTTCTTTAATGAAGAAAAAAAATGAAAACAACTCTAAAAAAATTTATTTAGAGATTCCTCTTTGTCATATGTGTAATATGATTACAAACTTGTTGGTCCCAGACGAGCTCAAAAAGGGGTGAATTAATATATAAACTTAATGAATTCAAAATCAAAGTTAATATATATATATATATATATCAATAATACTTTTTACAATAAAGAAAAAATAAAGAGATAACACAAGTAATTACGTGGAAAAAATTCTAACTTGAAGAAAAAAAATTCATGATCCCAATCTGAATACCTCTATCCAATTAGAAGACAAATCCACTATAGTGAGCCATGCTCAATTTAAAGTACAAGAATAGAACTTATTCCATCCTTATACAATAGAATAAGGATCATGTATATGATTATAAAATACCCAAATAAATGAAATCAAAGTAAAAATTGCGCGTACCTTGTTGGGCTATCACACAGCCGAAGGAAAGGGCGACAACATGCCAGAATCTTACTTTCTATGACCAATTCCGAAAATGGCAGCCTCAGTGCAATGAGAGCATGAGGGCTCATGGGTCTTAACCCCAATATAAATAAGCTAGAGAGAGGACCTAGCCAAATCATAAAAGAGTTTGTGTCTACTGGGTCCACTCATTATGAAAACCAAGGTCACGCTAATGCCTACATTGCTGCCCAACTAAGCTCAATAACAACAGATGCTAAAAGTCCAACTCAATATGATTACAACAAGCTTAGCATAATAGATTAAATTGGAATATCCATTAACCCGATTATTTTAGGAAATACAAAAATATTAATTAATATTGCCCATATATAAATATTTCTAACACAATTATCATTAGATAATTGCTCCCCTATTGCCTACTTCGGTAATAGCTAAAAGAAAATAAAAACAAATTAAGAGCTACCTTACACGCTTCTAATCAATAAGCAAATAGAAATAAATCAAACCTAAATGATGGACTCAATAAATCTTCTTCATGTCTTGGTTGCCAAAGTGTTTTAAATATTCCATAAGAAGAAATATGCATAATACATGCAATGCGTTATTCTCTTGAATGTTCAATCACACTTTAAAGAAAGACTCAAAGTATGATTTTTAGAGACTTTTCTCAGAATCAATTACTAAGAAAAAATCTGTAAATTTTTGCACTAAACCGATTTTCCAATAATATAATGATTTTTAAGAAAATTTTCCAAAATATCTTTTTCAAAATAAAATCAAAATCTTCAAATTAATTTTTCAAAAATTGACTTTCCAAAACTAGATAAAATCAAATCAAATATGTCAAAAAGAAATTAATTTCAAATTAACTTTTTCTTTTTCAAATAAAAAGCCAAATCTTTAAAAATCTATTTGGATTAAAAATAAAAAATTTCTATATTTCTTCCTTAGTTTCCAAAGCTTAAAGATGATCTAACCCAAGGCATAATCAGGATTCACCTCATCTAATCAAATGAGTATGATTTCTCTAATATTTGTTCATTTGATATTTGTAAAGATTTGTGGTATAATATTCCACCTTAACATGCCTCCATTACTTTGTATTTGCAGTTCCAGATATGGAAGGATAACAAGATGAACAACCAAGTTTCTTAGCCGCCTTGGGTCGAGGCAAGAAGTCCACGGTTGTCGACCTGACAACCCGGAAAAGGAAAGCTCCTGACCCAAAGACGAAGAAGAATACTATCGGGGATAAGTCCACAGGGACACCTGCTGATAAGCATATCCCGGCTTCTGAACAGGCTTTAACAACTACCCATCAGACCCGTTCTCTTCCACCTCCCTCTGGTCTCTCCAAAAATGTCGTTTGGCAAATTGGACTTAGCAACGATTTTCGCGATGTCATTTGTCCTCATGTCCATTTTTCAGTTCCACCCTTTTTACCCCTGACGAGTTTAAGGAATTGGAAACGATTAAACTTAATGTCGTGATTCGTGAAGATGGCTTCTTTGGCGAGGCCTTTTCTTTCTCTAAAAAATAAATATGTCAAAACTCTCGCCGAAATAAAAGCTACCAGGGAGGAGAAGGGGAAGACTTATGAAGAACTCCTTAAGGTGAAGGAGGATTTAAAAACTTCTAATTCTGACTATACTTCTCTTGAGCTTTTGCATGCCAACAATGTCCAATCAATGAAGGATTTTATAATAATATTTGAAAATAATGAGAAAAAGTTGAAGGAGGAAGAAGTCGATGTTCTATACTATCAAATCGAGTTGGAGAAGTCGATTCTTGGCTCCTTCAACAACGCTTTAAAGCAGATTAAGATCCTCAATCTTGGTGTTGTATACTGTCG